CCCTCCAATCCCGCCTCAACCCAACCTCTACAGACCGTCCACTTGCTGTGCTGATGTCACAACGTTCCTAACAGATCGTTCTCGCGACGTGACCTTGTACAGTCAAGGTCGTCTGCTGGGTTTCATCAAACAGCCCAACAGGTGCAAGTGGTCAAGTTACTCTATTTATTGTGTTGCAAGTACTGTAAAATATTAACTAAAACTAAAACTAATTCAAACTTACAAATGTACATGTTCCTAGATGCTGTACAAACACAGTCTTTTGGAGGGAGGGTGACGGGGTGCTCTGGTGTGGTTTGCTCCATCTTTCCTTTCGAACATCTGTCGTCCTCATCTCGCCTCCCTTTTTGTGTTTGTTACTCTCTTGTACTTGTAACATCTCTAACCTTCGACACTTATATGACCTTATTGTGTTGCTAGTGCAGTAAAACTCGTACATGTGTATTGAAACGAAACAGTCTCTTGTCCCTGAGTCACGAGTCGATCGGTTTTCAGATGGTACGGCCTACATCTTGAAATCAGGCGGGAGCGCCTGGGCCCCGCTCTCTACGACGTCATAGGATATGAAGGAGACAGTTATCAGGTGTTCGAGAAACTGGGAACAGGGCGCAGACTGGTGGGTGAGTACATGTTTCTCTTGTCTCTGTCTCGTCTGTCTGTCTGTCTGTCTGCTTGTTTGTCTGTATGTCTGTCTGCCTGTCTGTCTATCTGTCTGTCTCCCTGTCTGTCTCTCTGTCTCTCTCTCTCTCTCTGTCTCTCTGTCTGTCTCTCTCTGTCTGTCTGTCCCTCTCTCTCTCCCTCTTTCGCTCTCTCCTTTTATATCCCTCTCTTTGCGCGTGCGCGCACGCGAACACTTACAAACATAGAGATTTATACATAATATTATATAGGCCTATATAATCTACACGAAATATATAATTAATATATAATTCTCGACCTGTCCCTGTCTTTCGGGTGTACTGCCTCTCTCGACCCTCTCCCCTTCCTCAATCTCTCTCTCTCTTTTTCTCTCTCTCTCTCTCTCTCTCTCTCTCTCTCTCTCTTTCTCTCTCTCTCTCATTGTCTGTCTGTCTCTCTTTGTGTCTCTGTCTGTTTGTTTGTCTGTCTGTCTGTCTGTCTGTCTGTCTGTCTGTCTGTCTGTCGGTCTCTCTCTCTCT